GGGGGGGGGGTGTTGGGTGGCCCAGTGCTGGGCTGGGAGACCTCAAGGCCACCACTGTGCGCACGGAAGCGCTTGGGAACAGAAGTCCGACTCAATCCTGGGACCGCAGGAAGTAAGGGGGCCTCAGGTGGGTGGGAACCACGCCGAAGCCGACACTGGATTGACTTGGCTACTGGAAAGGTCCTGATAAGGTCCCGTCAGAAGGGCAGCTGGGAGTGCCCAGTGCCTCAGTGGAAAAGTGGGCCCAGACCAGGGCCTCTAAGGGGAACAGGTGGGACTGAGGCCAGTACCCTGTAGTGTCATTTTCCCCCTGGGGCTGTGCTGTGCCCCACATCCCACAGCAGCCCAGCAGGGGAAGAGGGGTCAACCTGCAGCAGGGATGGACAAACGCCACTCGTGTGTCCACTTCCTAGACGGAGTTATTCTGGGCACAGCAGGAACGTATGTTAGGATTGATTAGTGATGTCTGCCACAGGCCAAGGGGAAGTGAATGGGGTGGAAGGAACACCCTCGCCAACTGTTCTCTCTGTCACAAAGGCAGGAGGATAGGAGAGGTCCCCGATTGATTAATGAGGTCTTCCATGGGTACAGGAGACGTAAGTCACATCTGCCCCAGCATGGGATGGAGCATATTCAGGCAAGAAGGCCTCGATTGGTTACTATTGCAAATGACAAAAAGGCACAAGAGAAAGAGTGCTGAGCCAACAAGCAAGGTCTGCCCGGAGCACAGGATGGGAGGACGCAGCAGCCTGTGGAGAAGCATGCCGTGATCAGTGAGTGAGGTCTCGCTTAGAGACAGGAGGAGGGCTGGCAACAGAAAGTAGACGTTCCGCGGGGCCTGGGCAAAGCTTCCGAGGGCTGGGATATATGGAGAGGGAGGGCGGTACTGTGAGCCAAGTGCCTGCCGTCCCCGATCAATAGGAAGCAGCAAGAGGGCAGGCCCCCCACAAAGGTGATGGTCAGGTTAGTGCCCATGAAAATCAACTTATCCTGGGGCAGCGCCACATCCAGCCCCAGCCCTGGCTGCAGTGCAGGAGAGGGGGTGGGTAGGGACTCAGTTAGCCTCTTTTGTGGTTAGTTGTTACTGGGGCCAGGAGAGAGTGTTACGGAGTAAGCAGGGTTTCCACCAGTACCGGACTTGCTAATGTTTGCTACCACGTTAAGTGGGTACTTACCAAGATCTCCCCCTTTGAAAACACAAAGTTAGGGTTGTGGGTAATTCAAGGAAGAGCAGGCCAAGGAAGAGGTGTGAGGGACACCAGGGGACAGAGGAGGGGCAAGAGAAGCACGCAGACCGGAGGAGAGGAGAGCAGAGGGGAAAACAAAAAAAAAAACAGCAAAAGAAAAAAAATTACATGCTATTAATTATATTCATGGTGTTAATATTTAATTCATTATCATTTCCCGAAACAAAACGAAAAAAGCAACAACATACGTATTACCTATGGCAAGCGCAAAGATAAAAAAATTAAATCAATAAAAACCATGCAGTGGCTGCATCCTTTCTCTCAAACTGTGCGAGATAAACAGGAGCCACCCTAGTCCCACACCCCGCCCCACCCTGAGCAGAGGGGAGGCTGGCAGGCACCCTGTAAAGTGACGGGCTTTCTTAGTGGGTGGGGAAAAAAGGTGTCTATCACTGACCGTTAAAAAATCCTGTCACATGGCCAGGGGGTTCTCCATCCCCCCAACCCACCGCACCTGAGCTGGTTTACCCAACATAGCTCCCACCCAGCTGTGACCTGCATGCTGTAACCCCTGGGGTTGGTCCACCCAAGTGCATGGTGAACACCTGGGGTCAGGGTCACACAGCCCTTCCTTTGGGAATCCAGTCCCACCCCTGTCCACAGGCCTGGCCACTTTCCGGAAACAGCAAAAGCTAAGCTGAGCCCAGAAACTGTGGGGAGTGGGTTCAGGGGTGGGGTGGGGGAGTCTGATACTACACAGTTGGCTTCTGGGTCTCCCCTGCATGCCCTGCCAACTCCCTGACCCCGCATCCCCCCAGGTGGAGGTGGCCCGGAGGCTAGGCTACCTGATTGGGGATGGCTCTCTTCTTGTTCAGCTGCGTGCTCCTCTGCTGGGCGCTGGAAGCAAAACACAGAGAAGGCTCATGTGGGGGAGACCCCGCAAGAGGAAGAGGTCTTACCGGCAGGGCAGGCAGGCAGGCAGGCGGGCAGGCGGGCAGTTGGGGTAGCCTTTGTTCTGCAGGGCCTACAGTCCAGCTGCAGGCAGAGGCTAAGAAGTGCCTCCTACCCAGGGGAAGGAGGGAGCTCAGGAGAAGCGGCTCTGGTTCAGCTGAGACTTAGAGGCCCTGATCTCAGCCCACTCACTCCTGAAAGCGCCAGCTACGGACTCCCAGAAGTCACGGGATCCTGGAGCCTCCAGGAGGGGCCAGAGGGTGGCCATGGCGGCCTCAAGTAGCCTGCATCCCAGGCAGACTAGGGGCTGAAATGCTAAGGTGACCATCCGCTCGCTCTCTCTCCTGTCCCCGACCCAGCACCAGGTCTGAGGTAGTGCTGAGCCCTGGACACCGAGCCCAGGGGAATGAGAGGAGGACGATTCAGGCTGACCACCCTCTGTGGAAGCACCACTCCTCCCAGGCAGCTCCTGGCTCAGTTCAGAGGAAAGCCAAGACCCCTCGGGGGGCCTGCCCCCCGCCACAAGGTCCTGCGACATTCAGCCTGTTTTCATCCACCCAAAGCATCCCCTGGTGGCTTCCTGGTAAGGCCTTCCTGTCACCTGCACACACATTCTCCTGTCACGTCTGTGTCACGATTCCTTCTCTCATCGTACTGCTTGGGCTGCGATTTCAAGAACACTGGGAAGAAGCACACCAGCTCATTGCACTTTCTACGGGCGGCCTCTGTGGGTTGGCAGCGGAGGAGTGTGTGTGGCCCTGCCCGTGTGGGAGGCGGAAACAGGCTCTCCAGGTTTGCATTCTTCGTGACACGCAGGGAGCGTCCTGTGGGGCTTTCTCGTGGGGCCCCGTTAACCCCGGGTCAGAGGGCTGCAAGAAACACAGCCCAGGAAGTGCAGCAAGGCTTTGGATCAACAGCGTCCGAGGGAGACAGAACAAACGTGGCCAACACTGGACAGCCCCGGCTGAGGGCCAGTTCTCAAGTCCTCCAGGGCCCCACCCTGAGGGCTCCCTGAAACGCCGGCCCTGTGGCAGTCTCTGCCCCGCACCTGGACCTCCGGCTGCCCTGGAGAGGGAGAGGAGTGCCCAGGGGCTCCCCTGGGCCTGCACCCTCCTGGCAGTGGGCGCTATCCACCACCTCTCTCAGATCCACCTGCCTTGGTCAGGGGTGATCCCTCACCTCCCACCCCCAAGTTCCTGCTTCCTAACCTTACTTGCCTGGTCCCTAAGTCTCTTGCGACTGTCACCTGGTGGTCACGACTCAGCTCAAATGACGCCTCCCGAGGCAGGTCTCTCCAGGTCCCGCACGACCTTTGCTCCCCTTCCCCGCAGCCCCTCACCCACCCCCTCCTCCCAGCTTGCATCTTCCTAACAGCTTGGTTGGTGGCTCCAGTGCCCCTCCTGGCCTGTGGGGTCTGAGAGGGCAGGGCCACATCTGGCCGGCTCCCGGCGGGCGGCGGAGGCCTGAGGGAGCACAGTCGGCATTGACTTAGGGGCCCCGAGCCCCATGCCCAGCCCGATGCCCACCCCGCACACACCAGGGAGAAGGCACACAGCAGGCAATACCCACCCTGTCGCCAGCTGCTCAGTATAGTAACAGCTGGGGTGAGCGGGAGGGCCCCGCCCGGAATCCAGAGGAAAGAGCGGAGTGGTCAGAGGAAAAACAGGAGAGACGGTGAGAAGAAACTGTGGGCGCAGGGCGAGAAGCAGAGACGTGACGGCGGCACAGAGGAGGGGACCTGCGCTCGCTGCCTAGCACACCTGGTGGCTGTGAGGGCGGCCCTTGGACACTGCCTGCCCTACCTGCTCGGCGCCCCCGGAGGGCACTGCCCAGGGCTCAGTCCACGGCCAGCAGAGGTGGCCCAGCCAGGGAGACTGCTCACACCCACCGGCCACCTGCCTGCCCTGCAGGGAGCTGCCTGCTCTCAAAGCGTGCCCAGCACAGGTGCCTGTCAGTGCTCCCTGGGGGGCACATCAACCTGTGCTCTGCTCAGCTCGGGACTCAGCCCAGGCTGTGGCTCTGCGCACACACCTCCCGCCAAGGCCACTAGGCCTCTGAACTGGCCCCAGTGAGCATGCCCCTTGCTGGAGACCACCCGCTGAGGGCAGGCCCCCGGCTCCTCTGAGGAGGCAATGCCTGGGTGGCAGGGAGGATCCCGCCTCCCCCTAGCCTGCTCCCTCCCATGGCAACCCCACGTGATGGACGGCCTTTTCCACACGCCCGGACCCAGAGGCTTCCCAGGCAGGGCTAAGGCGTGCTCCAGCAGCGTGGGCCAAACATGCAAGGAAGCTGCTGACACCCTGATAATGGCCCCCGGGTCAGCCTCAGGCAGCGACCCAGGGGCACTGAGACAGCATGGAGTGAATGGCTCAGAGGGATGGACGGCCCGAGTCCACCTGCATGTCCAGCTCCGTCCTGCCCTGGCCCCTGGTGCTGGCTCTATGGAAGGCTCTACTCTGAGCCTGTATGGAGCTGCAAGCCTGTGGCACGAGCAGGTCCTGGAGAGGCGTCTGCTCTGAGGAGCCTAGCGGGAGAAGCGGCCATCTGTTTGTCCGTCTGATGGCACTTTCTAGACACGGCTCGGCACATTGCCTTCGACTCCCCACTCCGGTGGCCCCCTGGGAGTCACCACCAGCCCAGGACACCTTCCAGGTACGGAGCCAGGAGAACAGGTCACACTGCGTCTCTCTCCAGGACCCCAGTCCTCCGACCGCCTTCCCGAGGGGTCTGTGCTCCCCCACCAGCCACTGCCCCGAGAAGTACATACTTGGCAAACCCAATGAAGTCCTCGTGGTTCGTGTTGATGTAGGACAGCTCTATGTCAATCAGGAGGAGGATCTGGGGGGGGAGAGGGGTGATCGTGAGTCCTGAACACAGCCAGGCAGGGAGAGCGGGCGACCAGCGCACTTCCCTAGACCAGCAGAGGGGGATGGAGCACTGGGCTGCCTCCTCTGGAGGTGGGGTGGGGGTATAATGGGGGGCTTCCAGGTCTCACGGACCATAACCGAGTGAGGTCTCAGGCCGATGGGGCGCCATGTGAACCACCCAAGCAGGTGTGCACGCAGGGTGCGGGGATGAGCATCAGCAGTCACATGCCACTCTGGTGGTCTGTCCTCTCAGCCACCATGACATGGGCCTAAGGGGCCACAGCACTAGACCACTCACAGGGTGGCTGCCTGTGAAGGAGGGCGCCACACACCGGGCTCCCACTGGCCCAGCCCCTGTGCCTCAGCTTCCTCGAGACTGCCGAAGACCAGGGAGGGGACAAGACTCAGCTGGGGCACAGGGTGAGGGGGCACCCATGAATGCGTGAGATGCCAGGGGGCCTTGGGAGCTCCAGGCTGCAGGAGGCCCAGGGAGGGGAGAGGGGGCGGGTGGTCCCGGGAGGCAAGCTGGTCCGTGCTGTGGCTCACGTACAGAAACGGCCCCCAGGCTTTCTGCTCCCATAAAGGGTCAGTCTCTGAAGCCCCCGGGCGGTTCTACCCCGTCCTCTAGGGTCGCCACATGTCAGATGGCATGGAGGTCCCCCCCTGAGGCCACAGACTACATCTGAGACCCCACCCCCACCCCCGGAAGCAATGGAATCGAGTCAGAGAAAGGGGGTCGGGTCACGTGACATTCTGGAAGCCGGCAGGGGCAGAGGCTTGACTTGAGGGGTCAGTCACGGGGTGTAGGGCGGTAGAAGGCATGGCCGGCCTGCACGGGGGTGACTCGACTGGGGGTCAGGAGTGGGGTGGGCAGGCAGCCAGCCTACCTGGTCCTTGGTCTTGCCCTCCCGCTCTCGGATGTGCGTGGTGACGATGCGCTCCGTCTCCTCCTGCAGCCGGGGGTAGGAGCTGAGCTGGGGGAAGAAGCAGAGTGGCAGCACTGCGGGGGGTGGGGTGGGGGGCCCAGGAGGGAACACAGAGGAAAACAACGGGGAGCGGATGGGAGGTATGGGCAGGCCCGCCGCGCCCCCCAGGCCGCCCCTGCCACCACAGCTGCTTCAGCAGGAGGCAGAAATGGGCCCGTGGGTGCCAGGGAGCGCGGGGGGCAAGCGGGTGTGTGGCAAGGCACTGAGTGGGCAAGAGCCAGCAGTCAGAGGAGCAAAGCGGCAGGGCAAGCAGGTGGCACCCGTGTCCAGCCCGGCAGCCAGGGCACCGCATGCCGGGCAACGGAGGGGTCTGGCCAAGCTCATGAGTGCACAGCGGTGCCTGGGAGGTGTGGGGGCGCCTGGGCCGCCGGTCCCTGGAGAACAATCCCTTCCTTGACCTCTGGAGCATGTGCTGCCCCTAGGCTGGCTGTAGGCTGGGGCCACGAAGCTGCACGCCGCCCCCCACCCCCACCTCTGATGGCTGGGGGTACGTTCACAGTCTAGGGCAACTGAGATAACTGCCAAATAAGATTAGGGGGGCGGAGTAGGGTGACCCACCCATCTCATGCTGAGATGACAGGAGACACAGCCCCCACCTCTGCCTCCCCCTCCCCCTCCCGGACCTGGCTCTCTAAACGTGCTCGGTAAACGTGAGGCCATGAGTGGGCAGCGCCAAAGGCTCCCACACCCACGGGTGGCCCAAATGGCAAAGGGGGAACGTGGGTCCCCGAAAAAGGGTCCCCACCGAGGCAGAGTGTGAGAGTCGGTCATGGGAGGGAGTCGGGGGTTCGGCGTGTTAACAAGGAAAGCGGTTACCTTCTGGGAACACTTTTTAATGACCGCGGTCAGTTCTGAGACCACGAGGTCAACGCACTTCAGGCTGGGCTCTTTGAGCTTTACAATCTGTTTTTTCACAATGGCTTCAAAGGCCATGTCGGGGGTGAAGAGCCCCGTCCTGGGTGAGGCGGAGGGCGGGCGACCAGGGACCAGGCAGGCCACACACACACACACACACACACACACACACACACACAGGGGACGGGACACACACGGAGAGAGGAGAAAACAGAGGCAGCGGGTTAGTCAGGTGCACCCAGGAGCCTGTGCCCACGTCTGCCCAAAGCTGCTCTGGATCCGGATGGGGGTGGGGTGGGGGGTCTCCTGGGCGGTGGGGCTTGCTCAGCAAGGGACCCGGCTACAAGTGCCACCGGCTGGGCTCTCCCCCCACCACCCAGCCATGAGGAGCTTGAACTCCAGATCAGTGACATGCATGGGCCATCATTGCCAATCCAGCTGAGGCCAGAAACAGGTTTTTTTGTTTGTTTGTTTGTTTTGGGGGGGCCCCCCCCGCTTGATTTGGTTACTTCCGGTTCCAAGTGAAGAAGCTTTGGAAGCAAATGTGGGCTTTTCCAGGCTGGGGAGTGAGAGCAGCATGGGCAACCACCTGCCTCGGTGGAGTGGGGTGGGGTGAGCGAGGGGCCACCAAGCCACAGCCCAGGGGTGCACAGCACACACCGCCCCCAGGGAAGCACGTCCTCGGCTTGGCCTAAGCGAGCTGTTCTGGGAAACAGGTCCTGAGGAGCCAGGTGCCGCCCCCACCCCCACCTGGGGGAGGCGCTGCAGCCACAGGCAGAGAGAGCAGGCTATCAGCCAGCCAGCCCAGAGTGTTTCGCTGTGGGCACTGGGGGCGTTTTCTCAGAGGAGGCCAGCTCCGGGGTCGCCCCAGTGCCCAGGCATTGGTTGGGGTTGGGGTGGCAGGGCAGCCGGGGTCCCCCTCTCTGCTTCCCAGAAGACAGTGAAGCAGTCAGCTCACACGAGACAGTAGTTGTATAGACACATGCTAGGCTTGGTATCAGGACCCCTGGAGACCTGCCCTCTAGTCTCCCCCGTTTAAAGACCCAGCACCATTAGGGAGCCCAGGCCGACAAGTCCCGCCCCTCCCCATCACCCCCAGTCTACGGAACCAAGGTGCCAGCCCTGGGAGCCTGATACCAAGCCCCCGCGCCAGGAGTCGCCCTGCGAGGGTCCAGTACCTTACTGGTACACTGCCTAACGGTACTGGTCAGCTCCTGGATGACCAGGTCGACGCATTTCAGACAGGGCTCTTTCAGCTTGACCACTTGCTTTTTCACAATGGCCTCGAACGCCATGTCCGGGGTGAAGAGCCCCGTCCTAGAGCCCCCCGAGCCCGCGGGCAGAGGAGGTAAGGCAAAGTACCGTCAGCGATTCCACAGGCACTGGGGGTGGGGTGCTAGAGACAAAGGATGGGGGCCCAGAGGCCAGCGGCCACTACACAGATAGCCCAGGGCAACTGGAGGACCCGGGTCGAGAGGCGGTGGGATGGAAGCAGCCCACTCTTGCTAAGACCAGGAAGGGTGATGCAGAAGAACCCGGGGCTCTCCTGAGGTGGGGAGCACACTGGGCTCTCACAGTTGCAATTCCGCTCCACCCCCTCTCCCTGTCTGGCCTCCTTACTTTCCCCTGGGGGCTCCTGTTCATGGCAAGCTCTGGGCAGAAACAGGTGGGGGCGGGGGAGAGGGAGGGCCTGCGACCCATTCATACAAGACTGAAGTGCACTGCCCTCAAGTACCCCCAGATGCTCACTGGGAGAGCCTCACAGCTCCTGGAAAATACCCAAGACCCCTCAAGGCTTCAGAGTCAGGGGGCCCAGAGTTCTTGGGGGGCGGCTACACTGTGGAGGTGAAGGGAAGATGATGCCCCCCCTGGGGAACCTGCCTGACTCCGTGGATGTTCTTGATGGCATAGCTGATCTCTCGCCGCAAGTCCTTCTCATCGAACTCCATCTGAGGACAGACAGACATGCCAACTGAATGCAGGGAGCAGCCTGCGGCACCCCTCCACCACCACTGCCCTGGAGGCGAACGGTGGACCCTAAAAATCAAACGACGGACTGGGAGGACATACTGGACAAGAGCCCTAATGTCCTGAAGAGCAGGGGTGTCACTCTGAGAATGGGGGTGCATGTGACCTGTGGCAGTTACATAACCTGTCGTCACCTTGAGACTATTGAGAGTGAAGGGGTGGAGGTTAGCCGGTCACAGCTTGATGACCTAATGTGGAGGCACTATGGAGAGAAATAGCTCACTGGAGGCCAGACTCACACACTCTCTGCTTCACCTTCCTGCTGACAAGCCACAAGGAGCTACACTGATGGAGCCAGAGCCCTGGAGCTGGAGGAGCCACATGGAGACGCACGCCAGCACTGAAATGGATCCACAAGACTTTTCACCCACTGTCCTGTGATCTTCCTGCTTTCGGTACCATTGCATGTGCTGTCCGACTTAAGGACTTGATCTAGACTGGGCTGGGATGTTTTCTTAGTGTGCCTATGAACTTGTTTCTCTAGTCAACCCAGACTAACACATGACCGGTGGTCTTTTCCATCAGCCCTAGTGCATGTGAAAGTTGGACGCTGAGCCAAGAAGGCTGGGTGGGGGGACCCACACCTTTGAGACAGGTGCTCATGCGGGGTTCTCACTGGACCACGGGTGGACAGAAGAATGAATAAGCCCAACGGGAAGGCGTACAGTCAGAAGGCATACAGTCAGAACGCCCTGTCCACGCCAGGATGGCGAGACCTCCTTGCATGGAGGTCAGGAGTGACCGCGCCTGGACAAGGACGCCGTGCGCGGGAAAGGCCGAGGGGGAGGGAGAAAAAGGGCAGGCCTTCGACGAGACATGCTGCCACCATGGCTGCCCAGAGGGCTGACGGCAAGCCTGGCCTGTGAGGACGGCAGGGCCGGGCCTGACTCAGTGGCTCACGTGTCACTGTTCTTCACCAGGCGTGGCGCCTGCGTGGACAAAGCACGACAAGAGAGGACAAGCCCCCTGGGACTAGTCCTGCATCCGCAACAGGTGAAACACAGAGCATTCCCTGCCGTCGAGTTTGCTCCGACTCGATCAGAACTGCCCCAGGGGTGCCCAAGACCATCTTGACAGGAGGGGAGCCTCCACCCTCTGCCGAGGAGCCCCCTCCCAGTTAGCAGTGACACCCCAACACAGAACCACCGCAGCACAGGGCCGTGGGGAAAGCAGCTCTTCCAATGGGGCTCTGCTCTGAGCACTGCTACAGAAGCAGAGGCTGACTGAACACTAAGTCTAGGACCTCTTCTTCTTTTTTATTCCCCCACCCCATCCGGATAGCCTTCCATTATCGATCCATTTACAAATCTGCCCTTGGCCTTTGGGGGTGGAACGCGCCGTCTCTGATAACCACCGGTAGGTTCCGGACTGAGAGACTGCACGAGTTAGCAGTGGGCACGAGTACCAAAGAGGAAGCAGGCCGGTCACCAGTGTGCCTGCTGGGACCTACGAAAGACACCATGTGCGAGGGGCAGGGGGCGGGGACAACGCAGCCCGCTTTAGGCCTGCAACGTGTGCTTCGTCCTTGCTGGGTGCTACCGTCAAGGCAGCCCTGGCTCATGGTGCACCCCCACCCCCAAACACAACTGCACAGCATGCTGCCTGGCCCTGCGCTGCCCTCGCTCTAACTGCGTGTGGACCGGACCACTGTGGCTGGCAGACCTTCTGAGGCTGATGGCTCGGAGCAGACTGCCAGGCCTTTCTTCCTCGTGTGGAGGTGCCACTGAGGCCAATTTCGGCCTCAAAGCAGCCATCGACACCACTTTTGGGGAGTACCAGCTGGAAGGCAGGCAAGGATTCCGCCACTGAACCACACTGCCCGAGAAACGTCCACGGGAAGCAGGTGTGTGTCCCTCCTCTAGGGTGGCACCCACCGGTGTGGAGGTCAGAGTGCCACACAGGAAGGACCCTGAAAGGATGCCCAGCAGGGGGCTGAGAGTTGTCATGCGGGGGCTGAGCAGTGTGGGAGTCTGCCTCCTTGTGGTGCATCATAAAAAGGAGGCTTCCATTTCTTCAAAGATGCTACGTGCTCAAGGTAAAAAAAAACATCACCCCAAACACCTGCCAAACAGGGAGAAAAACCAGGAGGATGGAGGGACAGGCCAGCTGCACATTGCCCTTCTGAGCACGCGGAGCTGACGACCCTCTGCTGGTTGGCTACCGGAGGTGTGTCACCTGCGTGATGTCCTTCAGCGACACGCTGGGGACCTCTTCCTGCAGCAATTTACCTACATTTTTGTCTTTTGCAAAGAATTCACCTTTCTCTCTGTGAGAAGGGGTTAAGGGGGGCCCTGCCTCAGCTCTGTGGTCGGCAGGCGGCCACGCTCCCCTGGCGCCCAGCTTTCTGGACAGCGGGATTGGGCCTTGTGGCCAGGGGGAGAGCCCACACACGGCCTGCATGGGAGACAGAGGGCCCCCACCCCGGGCTACCTTGACCAGCTCGAAGGGGAACCGCTCGTGGAAGATGCGATTGATGCGGGCGCCCCCCGAGAGCTCCAGGGTGTCCACCTGGTCGCCCGAGCCCTCGATCCTCTTCTCAAAGTCCACCCCGAACTGCTGGACCATCCTGCGCAGAAGGGAACAGCGCCATCAGGCTGGGCCCCGTGGGGTGGGCCAGCCTCCTGCCCTTTCCCGGACACGATGCCACAGCCCCTGGCACCCGTTGGCCCGAAGGGGGCCAGCTCTCAGCCCTCCCCCCTCCGTTAAGCTAGCCAATCCTGCAAGGAGGGGCTCTGGCTGGCCAGGGCCACCTCTCTACACGCAGTGACTGGCTGCCCGTGTGACCCTTGACCTTCAATGGTGGGGAAGGGCTATCGGTGGCGGTTACACCCAGCTCTCTGCTGACTGGCCACTGGGGCTTCTGGCTTTGCTGCTCTGAGCCTCGGTTTCCTGGTCTACCAAGTGGCTTGGCCCTCACAGTCCCTATGCAGGAGGCCAGCGTGGGGACCCAGCAGTGGTTCTGTCGCATGGCCGTCGTGTGCCATCACAGGAGGGAAGGGGCACCCCGATTGTGGTGATCTAGTCGAGAAGAGGCTTCCTGGT